CCGTCAAAGGCAGCTGGAAGTACAGGGTCGCATAGCAATGTAGAGACTGGCAAGTGCCAATACGAAGTTCCCATAGGGAGGTATATCTGGCGTGAAATCACTAAAGAAATCCAGAAGTAGCTTGACCACTACTAAATCCGACCGATTCTGCTAAGCAATTAAGTACATGAGTCGATGGTAAGGAAAATCAGCGTAATTTTCGGAATAAAATTGATATTTTATACTTGTCCTGACTCATGAGGTAAGTTCTCCCAACCTCCCTTACTCAGACACTTTGGATTTCCTGCAAGTTTAAGTGTCCCGCTCTACAATCTATAGAGCAGTGAAGCGTAATGGGAAAGGTGGCGCCAGTTCTTCCGCCAAAACGGATCAACGGATAACTCTTGGCGGTGAGTAGTGATTTTAACGTCTGTTCTTATTGAAGGGGCTTCAATAGAGAAACAAATGTTCCACTAACGTTCGCAAGATGAAGAGGAGACAAGCAATTCAGCATGAGTCAGGATAAGTATGAAATATCAATTTTATTCAGAAATTGCATCATTTTTAGGTCAAGTTTGTAAAGCTGCTATGTAAAAGAATATGAAGTGGAACTTATGGTCGTGAAAGTCCTGATGCCAATATATTACTAGTACACAATACAAGATGTTTTATTTTTGGGGAAGGTCACATGACCCTCAGTACAAATAATAACTAAAGTTTATGTTAATTATCAGTACATGTACATCAATGGTGAAGTTGTTGGGTAGGCTAGTGGCTCAAGTGCTTGTTTATCATGCCATGGATCCAGGTTTGATTCCAATCATGGGTATGGTGCACCACGGAATAGCGTCACCCAACATAAGACATCCACAGAGTTAACCTCAGTGGCCATGTTGACAAGGCTCCAGCCTTAGATGAGATCAGTGGTTCAAATCCCACAAGAATTTTATGCCCTACTGGTGTCCAACATTTATCTGAGTATGTTCAAATCAAGTTTTAGGAAAAGTAACTGCACCCTATTTAGAAAGGAAGGGAAACTTTCAATGATGGGGATTCTGATGATGAAAAGAAGTTACATTACCACGACATAGAATCTTCCAAAGTTGACTATGGTTTGTCAGGAAGTGGACAGAATAACCTCTCTACTCATGTGGACGAAGCATTGTGATCTCATATCAGAACCCATTGTGTGGACTCACAGTTAGAACAGGGAGCTGTTGTACAAAAATAACCTTAGCGCTAAGACAACCTTAAGTCTATATTAAAAGGTATGGGTGTTATAGTCACTTTAGCGATAAAAGATCGCATTGTACAATGACACTCTGATCCACAGCAGTGACTATGTAAAGATTTACGCCGCTTTTAGCAATATTCCAGCAATATCAGGTTCAGGGATATCAGAAATAGACACATTGTACCCATGTGGAAATGAACCCAGGACTTCGGCATGGTGAGCAAACACTTTAACCACTAGGCCACCTCTCTGTTCTTGATCCACAACTTATGCTGGACCTAAAGAGGCAAACAAAGGGACTGGGGTGATCTGGCTTGGTGACATGGTTGATGCATGCCATCCTATCCTAATGGAATGGTACGTTGCTGACAATATTAATCATCACATTGTCTGATCGAAAATAAATTATTTACATGTTGCCATCATATAGCTGGAAATATAGCTGGAGTGTGGCATTAAACTTCTAGCAAACATCAGAAAGTCTCTAGTTTCAAATTGTATGAGGTAATTTTATGGCTGCTACGTATGAATTGACATTTATTGACTAATATACTGAACAATAAGGATAATAAATATGTTATTTTGTGGATCTTGCACTTTTCCTTTCTGTAATGAATGACCAGTGCCTTATGTGATATATTCAGATGTGTTGAATGCATTGAAGGTGCATGGGGAAAGGTTGGCGAGCAGTCTAAGGCTATGTGACTATGTATCCCAGTTCACCCAGCTGCAATTGGGTACCTTGTGAGGATAAGGCTGTGTGATAACTCGCTGCACCTAACAGGCTGCATGAGTTGAATATTCCCCATGGAGTTGAGTTGGTGCCAAAAAGGAATGCCAGAAAAAAGACATCCGTTGATCAACACTCCAGGGCCTTGAGCATGTACTATTTACGTGGATATGTGCGCTATATAAATATATTGTATATTAATAATAAAAAATAGTAATAATAATTATGAGAATCAAACCTTCAACAATATTGACCTGAGAGGTTTCCTGTAATATTTCAGCTTTTTGTCATTTATTTTGTCATTTTGTGTAAAAAGACTCCTGAAGATCCTTGGAGAATTCACCTTCAGCAACCCATTCTTGTCATTGCACTAACGGGATCGGGTGGTCAAGCTCGCTGACTTGGTTGACAGGTGTTATTGTAAACCCAAATGCGCAGATTGGTGCTCGTGATGTTGATCACTGGATTATCTGGTCTCATTTTTGTAAAACTAGACATTTCATGGTTTGGGGAACCGTCTGTATACAAATTATAGGTGAAGACATGGTCCTGCAAACAAACAATCATGAGGATTCCTATATACCATCTACCAGTAGGCTCTTACACACACTGATGAAAAAACCTTTCCACTATCACTGGAGAAATATTTCCAGTGGTACAGATAAGCTGCGTATCTACGTAAATAAAGCAAATATTTGTGAAAACTCAATTCCTATTAAGTCTATTGCGTACAAGTACGCTTGAATTTTAATAAATACTAGTACTCAATACATGTGATCTTACATGCGTACACACAAATATGTCAAGTCTTAGCATGGGTACCGGTGGATAGATAAAATAAAAGGTATATTCAGAGGTGCTATTTCAGGACCTGAACTTAGAACTTGCAGTCTTTCTTATCGTTTCTCCTATTACAGATCAAATATAAATAACAACACTTAATAGCTCGCAAGTCATTAGCGGCTTGTTCCAGCTCAACAAATGAATAAAAAAGGGGGAAAATCAATAATTCACTACATTAAAACCACAGTAAATACCGATATTGATATTAACATGGATCGATGGTCACCAGTCTGTGTTAACGTCCGATGGCAGAGAAGTTAATAAAACAATAGGGGCCTATTTACACACCGTAAAATCAATTAAACACATACATGAAATACCAAAGACGTAATTAGTATAATAAAAAACATGCGCATATGAAAATGGCATGTTCCGTTAGATAAGGGTGGAAACTTGTTGAGTACCGTTAGATAAAGTGGGTGGGAACTTACCGTAAAGGGCGGTTGTACATAGATACCGTTCTTGTTGAGTTGTAGAGTTTGAAGTTACAAATTGACACATTATTATCCCGATACTGGATTTTTGTATTGGTATAACTTCATTATGATGTACATAGTAGTATGCATACATTAAGCAGTCGTTCTTGATTTTGAAACAAAGAAAAGCTTCCTCAAATTCAGTCACAATTACTTAATCTTTTTCTTGAAGTAGTTGTCATACACGGACTCTCAGTATGTTTGAGAACGTACACTAACGGTTTCATTAGCTGAGGTTACAAATATTCATTGATAAATGGAATGCTACCGAATTTCCTCAATCAACTCTAGGAGCCATTGCAAGAATAATAAATTAATGGGAATTTGTAGCAAAAGTACCTATGTTTTAATCCAGTTCCGTCCCAGTACTTAATAGAGACTGTAGGTTTAATGGCAAAGATAATATTGTTGGAACTCCGTGCAGAAACATTACCTTTGCGTTTAATCTGGTTCCCAAAGTTTGGTTGAGGAAATACGGTAACGGTAATCTTCAAATCAAACTAGAACACCAGTCGTTATAGCTCTTAATGACATGAAAGGACAATAAAATTATTCTGTAAGAACGGAAAGTATTACATATTTAATGGCAAATGGGAAGATAATGAACATGCGTCAATATGCAATGTAACGCAAATCCACATAATTAACTCCATACCGCTCAAACAGCTTTACAATCCGAGTCCATCATATCACTGAAGTCAATGACGTACCAGATCAACTATTGAACAGGAGAGGTTCTGGTTGATCCTTAACTTATTTTAAGTAGAATACGATTTGTTATGTGGGTTGTTTCGTTCAACTGAGAGAAGTAATACCCATGATGCAACCCTCGCCATGTAGTGAGATGTATCATGTAGTCATGGTAACGCAGGCCGCGTAGAGAACCAGAGTTAGAAGTTCTGTCACGCATCACACTGACACAGTCGAAGGAAAGTAGCTCGGACTGAAAGACTTCTATAAGTATCTCACGAAGGAAATGATGAAATCAAGTATCACCTTTACTTACTGGTTTTGCAGGATTGACTGCAATCCTTTGTGCACAATGTACCGTTTCGAGTTTTTACCAGGAGGTACAGACAGGTGTTGACGCAGCAATGGTTTTCGACTACGTACAGACGAC